GGGCCCGCAATGTCCAAACTGACCCTGGAGATGGACGGATGAGGAGGGGGCTGCCCCAAGCCCCCAGGAGCAAATGTTCTAGATAGTGCCCCCTGACCCTGTTTTTCCCACAGGTCCCATGCTCTGCGGACCCCCACCTGCGGGGGCCCTGCCCCTGGTGGACAAAGTGTACTCGGAGGACTCTGACGATGATGTCATCTCCCCTTCGCTGCCTGGGAAGAAGAGCTGCTCGTCCTAGGCCCGGGCCCGCCCCCTCCACCCTCACCCGCCCCCCGGCGGGCACCAGGGATGGGCCCTGCAGAGGCGACGGGACCCCTGAAGTTGGAGAAATAATTTATCTTGTTAATAAAGAACAGTGCCCACAAGCACCCTGCCTGGCCCCGCTCTGACCTCCTTGTGCTCATGGGCCTTCTGTGTGAGTGTGATGCCCCACAGTGTGTGTGGGGGGGCGTGGAGCCCAGCTGAGACACAGGCCTCCCCAGGCAGGGGTGCTTACATCCCACACCACCCTTCTTGGGGTGCTCAGGAGGACCTGGCAGGAGCCAGAGATGCTCCCCATAGCCCAGTAGTCTCATGGGGGCAAGCTGCCCATAGCGTCCTCGAGGGGCCATGGGGCTCCCGGGGGCCAGGCCTGCTGTTCTGCGGAGCCCCTCTGGTTCTGGCCCAGCAGGTGGGCCACCTCAAGTAACCCAGAGCCCCAGGTCTGGAGAGAGTCTCCCAGAGCACGCTCAGGGCTGGATTCCGGGATTGGAGACCCCTCCTCTACCAGGCTGGGGGACTGGGTGCTACCCAGCTCTATCTGACCGAGCAGGCTTCTCCCAACAAGGCGCCCAGCCCTCATCGGCTGCGTTCTCCTGATAGTGGACCTGAGTGGGGGTAGGGTGGCCTGTCTGTCAGGTGCCATCAGGCCAGTTCCAGCACATCCGGCCAGTCCTGCGCTGTCCCTACAATTGTTACATGTGAACCCATGGTCAGGGCCCCCATAGTCCAGCTGCTTGAGGGTCTGCCCGATTTTGTTGACACCCTGCTTTGCAGACATGCTGCTGTCCTCCAGGGACTGTTCCCTTCTGATGACATGTACAGGGTCATGAGGAAGGCCCCACTGCTGTCCTGTCTGGGCAGTGCCCTGGCTGCCCGTCCTCCAACACAGATGGGTTGTGCTCTGGGATGCCCCACTTGTTCACCCAGATGCAGCCACCCTTGTCCACCTGCAGGGTGTGTGGGGCAGCTAAGGAGACCAGAGATCACCCACCTGCCGGGCACCCTGAGTCGAGGCCTCGCTGGCCCTCTGGGCTTTCTGTAAATGGGTTTCTGGCAGCAGTCACCCGTGTGACAGCCCAGGGCAGGCCCTCCCCTGGACCCTCGCCATGGCCCCTGTGCTCTGCGAGAGCTCCAGTGGGGGCCTGCTGCCTCAGCTGGTTTCATGGGCTGCAAAATCAACTCTCTTTTCCCTGCGGATCCACCAGGCCCAGAGGAACGAGTGCAGCCCACCCACTCAGAGCCAGAGCCTGGACCTGTTCTGTCTGCCCATTGGGGCCCAGGCATCCGGGCTGCCCCCATGCCTGAGGGAGACTCACTGTCAGGGACACGGGGTCTGTTCCAGGAGAGTGCTCACGGGGCACTGGGTGACAGGAGAGTGCCATGCTCTGCAGGACACCCTGTCATGGGCCTCATCTCAGCCCTGACACCCCTCACATGCACCATTCTTGACCACCATCCCTCACCCCCCCCACAAACACACAGATTTATCATCCATTTCTGCTGCCACTGATCCCCATTGGGGCCCATTCTGACCTCCCGAAGGGCAGGCAGGGCCCAGCTCCTGCACACTGTGTCCTGCGGGCCCTGCCCAGTAGTCCTGAGGAGGGGAAGGCGTGGGCAGCCTTGGCCTTGGTCTCAGAGACAAAGCCCAGATCACCTCCATCAGAGGCCCACAGGAGGCCTAGAGGCCACCTCACCCTGTGACCTTGCTGGGCTCCCAGTTCCCAGGGCCTGGCCCAGTGGGCACATGGACTAGAGTGAGGGGGTTGGCCCCAGGCCCCGCCCTACCAGGAGCTCTGCATAATTGCAGGTAGGGCGAGGAGTGGGAGGAGAAAGGTGCCCTCCTGGGGAAGTAGGCATGGCCCTCCCACACTTGGTGGCCCTGGCGGCCCCCGGTTTTCGCAGCAACGCCTCCACGTCTGAGAACATGATGGCAGGACTGCTGTGGCCAGTGGCCCGTGGGTGGGCTGGTGCAGGGACAGGACAAGGCAGTGGTCAGAAAGGTGCCCACTGGTTGTGGGGGTTTGTCTGCAGTGCTGCCTGTGGGCTCATTGAGATACCCCTGGGCCTAAAGGCAGAAAGTAGGCTGCAGTGGACCCCAGGGCCATAGCCAGCATGGGTGGGTTAGCAGAGTGGAGTCCCTAACCCACCCCACAGGCCTGCAGCCCAGCAGGGGAGAACGGGAATAGGGTGCTGATAAAATCCCTGCACGAACACACAGAGCTAGGCCTCCCCTCCCCCTGGAGGATGGGGTGTGGATAGCAGGATGCGGGCGAGGCCCTGGACCCCAGGAGTCCATAAGTCCGATAATCTATCAACCCCTCTTCAGACATAGAAGATCACAGGCCAGTGGGTGGGAAGCCTTGTGGATCCAGTGGCAGTGGAAGCATCTCAGCGCTGGCGTGGGTCTCCAGGTGGCTCAGCAGCAGGAAAGGGGAGGCAGAGAGACTGGGTCTGGCCCCCAGTGAACTATTTATTTCCATCTTGCCTCCAAATGAGGTCGTCAAGCTGAGACCCGATTGACAGGCTAGAGTCCACCCTGTCGCTCAAGTTGACAGGAGATGTCACTGCCCCATGCACCATAGCCCGTACCATATACCACATCACGCCTCACACAGGACACCGCCGCCGCCTCCCCAGCTTGAAGCTGGAGCGCCTCAGTTGTGAGGAGCCTTGTCAAGCCCCAGTGGGTCAGCAGTCTGGTTCATCAGTTTGCTTGGACAGGTGCTGGCTGCTTCTGTCCCAACTAGTGTGCGCGCCTCTCCTGGCGGCCCTGCAGCTTGCCCTAAACCCTCTAAACCACCACGTGCCATTCCCTTCTTGACTCCAGCTCACCTGGAAAATGCCCTCCCCACACTGCCAGACCAGTCTTCGGGCTGTGTGTGTGTGTCCACGTGTGCACGTGCCTGCACGTTTCCACCCTGCAGTCACCAGGAAGGACACTGCAGTCTGCTTCCACCAGACCCATAGCCTTGGAAAAAGCCCTCGGGCACCTCTGCTCCATCACTCGGGGTCACTGAGTCAAGATGCCCTGGGGGGCTGGGGTATGTGTAGCTGGGCACTTATCCCTGCACACCAGATTGACCAGGGATCTGCCTGATGCCCAGCCTCTTCCTCACAGGCCTCTCCAGCCCTGAGCCTGTGCTCCCCAACTCCCAGGCCCCCCTCCAGCACCCCCTTGGTGTGGTTCCTACTGGCCAGCCAGCCTCCCCCTGGTGGCACCCCCCAACCCCCTCCTCGCATTGTGCCACTGTGGGTGCCCTGGCCCGGGTGACATGCTGGCCCGCTCCCTTCCCAAGTGTATGTGTGTGTCCTGCTGGGCTGAGCCTGCCAGGATCCCCCCACCCCCACCCTCCAGCTGAGAGGGAGAGTCCCACTCACTCTCTGAGAGGCCAGCAGCATAGGAGCCCCAGAGGAGAAGGGCTTGGGCCTGGGGGGGGGGGCGCGGGGAGCCTTGGCCTTCACCGAGAGGACAGCCAGCAAGCTGAGCCGTGGGAACGGACATCTTTGGCAGGAGAGGGGGATCAATTTGCATTTTAGGAAGGAGGGGTTCAGGCAGCTAGGACATGGGCTGCTGACCCAGCCCAGCCCCTGGGAACCCCTGGGAGAGAGAATGAAGCCGGCAGCTTAGTTCTGAGCCCAGTTAGAGCCCCCCTCTTGGCTCCAGGGGCCCTCAGTTGTGGGCAGAGGGGTGAGTCTGCACCCTGCAGAAGTGGCCCCAGCCCTGAGCCGGCTTTGAGGCGAACCTTGGGGACCTCTGCACCCCTGGCCCCTCATGCTGCAGACTGTTTGGCCCCAGTGCCCCCCACTCCCACCCCAGGCTCAGCCTGAGCCCCCTCATCTGTAATTGAGGGTGCCGTGTCCTCTCTGGTGGTCGTGGACCAGCAGCTGGACATCCTCATGCAGGGGACACCTGTGGGGCCCTGGCATAGAGCCCCCAGTCACATACAGCCAGTCCCCCCTGGTTTCCAGAGTTCAATGGGGGCAAGGGGCCAGGCCTGCCCCGCCTCTTGGGACTTTGGACTTGGTCCCAAGGCCCTGGGAGCTGTGCAGGGCTGCAGGGTGCACCTGGCCACCTCGGGCAAAGGTCTGCCTTGGTGCAAATCCTGTCCCCAAGCGCATGCCCCAAGTGACCCTGAGCCCTGGGAGGGACCTGGATCTACCCGAGCCCAAACTACCCAGAAAAACTTACTGCCATTGATTCTGACCCACGGGGACCCTATAGGACAGGGTAGAACTGCCCTGTGCGTTTCTGAGACCACCACTCCTTACGGGAATGGAAAGCCTTATCTTTCCTTCAGAGCAGCTGGTGGATTTGAACCGCTGGCCTTGCAGTTGGCAGCCAGCTCGTAACCACTGTCCCACCAGGTCCCCTTACGCAGGGCAGACGGCCTCGTCTCTGCTATGTGTAGGGCAGGGGAGGGGGCAGTCGCCTGGAGGTATGGGGGTGTCATGTGGAGCTGCTCACTACAGGGTCAGCAGTTCAAACCCACCAGTCACTCCGCAGGAGAAAGACGAGGCTGTCTGCTCCCCTAATGTCAGAGCCTCAGAACCCCACAGGGCCAGTTCTGCCCGATCCTGCAGGGTCACTGTGAGTCTACTCCATGGGGTGAGGGTCTGTTTTGTTTTGAGAGGCTTCCAGAACCTTCCCTGGGCTTTCTAGCACTGAGTTGGGAGGAGAGGCCTCGCTGCAAGCCCCAGTGCCCCTCCCCTGGCTGGGGCTTACCCCTATCCCCACCCTCTGCTTAGGAATCTGCAGGCAGGCAGGGGCCCTGTGATGGGGTGGGGGCAGCTTCTTCCCAGGCCTAGAAGGGGCCCTGCCGCCCCGGGCACCCCCCCCCTCCCACATAGCAGTAACAGTCTGAGGAAGCCGCCAGCCCCCATGAGGGGAGGGGACAGAGGCCCCCGAGCTGGGGTTGCTTGTGAGTGATGCCCCACCCACGGGAGCACTCAGGAAGTTTGGGGGGGGGGTGCTGAGTCAGGAGGTTGACATCCCTTCTGGTTTTTCTGGCACCAGAAGAGGCACAATCAGTAGGATAAGGGCCTGTGTGGGCCCCGAGGCCCAAGCCCCTCCCCCGGCTGCAGGCTGCTGCTGAAGGCCAGAAAAGGCCTCTTCTTGGACTGAGTCCAGGAAGTGGGCCGGCCCCAGCCTCCAGCCCACAGCCCCAGTGTCCATCCCAGAGTTCAGCTCATAGAACCTGCCCCCTGAACTGTCCCCTCTACTCCACCACCACCCGAAGAGTCCTGGCAGTGCAGGGGTTAAGCACTGGGCTGCTGACTAAAGGGTGGGCGGTTCAAACCCACCAGCCACTCCTGAGCTTCCACAGAGATGGTGGACGGGCGGCCCTCCGTCACTCCCCCCTCCCCACTCCATGTTCAGCCAACAGGCCAGGGGACACACAATGACATTGGGGAGACAGGGCAGCTTGGATTCCTTAACCTTTCAGACCCAATTGTCACCCAAGGGCAAAGTTCAGAGGGTCAGGCACCGAGAGAGAAGGGCGCACAGGGAGGAAGTGGGACATGAAGCTGTGAGGGGGGCGGGGTATGGGGAGGAAAGAGGAAACAGATGGGAAACTGATCCGCTCTGATCTGTCGCTCGGTCCTCTGCATGAACAACCCACTGCTCTGGAGCGCATGCTGACTCGGAGCCTGCTTGCTCGGGCTTGTGGGTTTCTACTCCTGCCGGGAGTAGAAAGCTGCCTCTCTCTCCCCCACGGAGCAGCTGCGTCCCCACGGCTTCTGCACAATGGAGTCAAGGGAGAAAAAGCACAGGACAGCCTCTGCCCCGCAGGGTGGCTGTGAGTCAGGGTCCATCGTGCGATGGCACTGGGCTTGGGTTTGGGTCTGAACACCTCTGTCCCTACCCCGTGCCAAGCCTGCATCTCTTTGGAGACAGATTTGTCTCTTGTCGCTTTCATCCCTTCTGAGTCCCAACATAGGGTTTCCCAGGCTGTAACTCTTTACTGGAACAGACAGCCTCGTCTTCCCTCCCAAAGAGGGGCTGGTGGATTTGAACTGCTGTCCTTGGGGTCAGCAGCTCAACAAGTAACCAACTTCGCTGCCAGGATTCCCGCAAACCCGAATCAACTCGTAGCCCCTTCCCATTTCATGGCGACCATGGACAAGACCCAGTGACACGCGGAACAGACGGCCTGGCCTGAGCCATCCACCGCACACGACATCCGGGCTGACTTCCCTGTGAGACCTTTCAGGTTCCCAGAGACAGGAGAGAGCTTGTGGGACTGATTGTGGCCCTTTGACCCCCGGCTAATAGCAAAGACCGGAACTATTCCCCTCCGGAGAGCTCTCACTGACAAGGACGACACAATGGTTATGTCTGTGGGCACTCCCCCACCTCCTTGGTCAGAGTCCACTCAAGGAGGGGACAGGCTGAGCTGACACCTCACTGCAGAGCTGAGGTAGCTGCTGATGGGGGAGGTGACCCTGCTGGTATATGTCCACTGGCAGGCAGCAGAGGGGAGGGGGGGTGACTTGCTGCTCCAAATGCAGGTATTTTACCTGGAAGCAGCGCAGCCGGTTTCCCCACACCAGGTCGCCGGAGGCAGACAGAGCAGTGTGAGTGGAGAAGGTGCACCGGCTTGGAGACCACGGCGGGGCCACGCAGACTGTCCGCGTGGTGTCCTGTTGGACATCAGAAGTCAGAGAACACGTGCCTTCGGCTTGGGAATGCACGCTCTGGGGAGTCACGTGCAGACAGACGTCTTCCATTAACTCAGGTTTCAGGGGAGCCACGGGGTGGGGGTGGGGGCGAAACAACTGTTGATGGTGAGCAAGCAAACAACACAAGAAGGTTCCTTAAGTCCTGGGCCAGTCTCAGGATGTCTCTGTTGAGTGACCGGATGGCAGGGCCTAGCTTTTCATCACTAACAGGTAACTAAGAGAAGGCTCTCAGCAGTATCCGGCCCTTGCAGGTGACATCCGCACCCTACCTGTCTGCTTTTGAGCAATGTGGCCGGTTACAAACCTCCCTGGAGACCGCATTCAGAGAATGCGTCTGCATTTGTAAGGGGGATTCTTCTAACATCTTCAGTAAAACAACTTGGGCTAGAGACCCCTTGCCTTGCTGGTAGGTGCCTGCAGTGGGTCCCAGCAGCGACAGAAGGGAACACGACCTGGCCTGCCCATCCTCGCAGTTGTTCCTGTTTGGGCTCCTGGTGACAGTCACTGGGTCAGGACACCTCCTAGAGGGTCTTCCGCCGTACCACTGACCCTCCACTTCATGGAGCACGCAGCCCTTCTCCAGGGAGTGGTCTCTCCTGATAGCACCACGCCCCAAGTATGTGAGATCCAGTCTGGACATCTCGCCTTCTGGTCAAGGGTCTTCCCAGACAGCTGCTTGCTCTTTGGGCAGCCTCTGGTCCTGCCTTTGGATAAGGTGACACATTCCTAAAGGTTGGGCCCCGGTTGATCTTTGCTCTGGACCTGTCTCCACGCCGATGCTGACAGCCTGCGGTGGGGGGCTTTCTGAGCACTCTACGCCCCCTTTGTCCTATGTGGCCCCTTTTACAATGAGCAATGGAGGCCCCAAGC